GCAACCCTATGTTCATTGCAGCATTATTCACAATAGCCAAGTCATGGAACCAACCTAAGTGCCCAGCAACTGATGACTGGATAAAGAAGATGTGGTATATATATACAATGGAATACTACTCAGCCATAAAAAAGGACAAAGTCGTCCCATTCACAACAGCATGGATAGACCTTGAGGGTATTATGTTGAGTGAAATAAGCCAGACAGAGAAAGACGAACTCTGTATGACTCCACTCATAGGTGGTAGTTAACATATGGACAAAGAGAACTGATCGGTGGTTGCCAGGGGAAAGGGGGGTGGGGGGAGGGCACTAGGGGTGAAGTGGTGTACCTACAACATGACTAATAATGATGTACAACTGTAATTTCACAAGGATGTTAACTTTCATAACCTTAATAAAAAATAAATTAAAAATAAATTAAAAAAACATACCTCTTACTTCTTATCCCCCTTCACAGGTACCACCCTGTAGGTCCATCCCACCATCATCATCTCTCACTTGTGAGGCAAACATGATAACCACTACCCTACGGAAACTCTTCCTTAGCTCTCACTTATATTATTTCAGTTTCCCTGCTCCCATTCTTGCCCTCATGGAGTCTACTCTCAATATAGCAGCCAGATGAATCTTTTTAAACACAGATCACATCATGTCCTTCAGAACCTTCTAGTGCCTCCCCACTTCAGAGTAAAACTCCTTCTTTCAGTAGTCTGTGAAGCACTACATGAGCTCACTCTCCCACAACACAGCTGCTTCCTTGATGTACCTCAATTACAAAAGGCAGACTCTGCCCCAGGGTCTTTGCACCAGAGGTTCCTTTCCCTCTAGGTCTGCACGGCTTACTGCCTTTGGGTCAGCATGCAAATGTCACATCTTCAGTGAGGCCTTCCCTAACCACCTATTTAGAATTGGAACCCCTGTGAAATTTCTGATCTCTATTCTTTCCTTTATTTTTCTCCAAAGCACTCATCACTTTCTACTGTACTGTTTAACTAATCACTTTAGTTTAGCTCTCTCCTTGCACCAAAATGTAAGCTCCATGAGGGCAAGTACTGTCTATTTTGTTCATAGTTCCTGGAACATAGTAGGTGCTCAATATTTGTTAATGAATGAATGAATGAATGAATGAATGAAATGACCTTTTCACCTAAAGTCTCCATACAGGACTCACATATTATTAAGCGTTAACTTCCAGCTATCTCCCCAATCCTACCCTTAAACTCAAGGACAAAATCTAGAGTCCAAGATTTCTCCTCATCACACAAACTGATATTTAACCAGTTTTCCTTCCACCAGGTTCTTTATATTTCTTTTCCTATGGAGAAGCCCACTCTCTTCCCTCTTTCTGGTCCTGTCCATTCCCTACTCAATCAACCTGCTCCAGTAGTCATGTGTTCAATACATGAGCACCTTCATGGCAAACAATGTTCTCTGTGATACACAGACACACCTATGACTGTTTCAGAAAACAGACAAGGAGCTTTGAAACAGTACTGGAGAACTATTACTCTTTACTATGAGTCTTTAAAAAGATGTGTATTAGGTTTATATATACAGAGAGAGAGAGAAGGGTGGGGGGGGAGGGAGAGGGGGCTTGGTCCAACTGCGCAAAATCATTTAAGGGTTATCCAAAACTCATTGTTTATTAGCAATGTCAAGTGTCCTGGTTCTTCTGATTTGAAAAGAAACTAAAATCTGAACCATTAGAAAGTACCTAGAAGATCTGCAGGCTTTGCAATGAATTCCATTTAGTGTTTTCACAGTCAGAAAGACATGTTACTTGAGGGGCAGTTTATTTATCTGAAATTAGAAATAACAGTCACAATTGTTTTGAAGGGCTCTAAATGGTTTCAGAATTTGGGGAGAGTAATTTGGTCTTTTGCAGATAGGGAAATACATAAAATATAACTGAAACATGCTCCTCTAAAATAAAAAGTAATTCTTCCTTCCCTTGATTTCCCATCATTCCAGTTATTTTTGCTTTTCAAACATCTTAATGCCTAGAGGTCCTTCTACATAGGGCAGAAAGACACCCTCTTACCTTCAATCCCTGCTTACTACCTAGAAATTTGAAACCCTTTAAAGTACCAACTAACTGACTTCTTCTATTTCCACTCCAGTGTCTACCAGCTTCCTCTCCCCTTCCTTTCTTTTCATAACCAACTCCCCATCTCATTAGGCTGCATATTTGCTCCTCCAGGCTTCAGGGCTCACCTCCCTTGCCCACTGAGGCAAGGAGAGTTGCAACTCATCCCTCAGCATTCACTGGGTGCAGATGGATGCTTCCACTGGGAGCCAAGACTTGATACCAGCAGACAGAGCCCAGGTTAATTATCACTGCCCCCCCATGGGAGATGATGACAAGCACTTAATCACCTCGAGCTGCCTAGCAGACACCAAGCAACTCCTGGCGGTGACCTCTTCACCCATCACCTTTGGGAGCCATCGACACGCTCAAAGGACTATTTTCCATGCCATGTGAGTCAGCTGGTCTCGGAGAGGCACTGCCTTGCAGTCACCACAGGCCCTAGACTCCACAGGACACCTCTGGCCTAGAACCACTCTCAGTCTCCTTGTGCTCCTTCCCCCTTGAGCAAATTGGCACTCAATTGTTTTTTTTGTTTTTGAAGGGAGGTGGGAAAGTTAAGATATTTAAATACTTGTAAACAATCCCTTGTCTAATTGCTCAATAAGAGGGGTGATTTTTGCCAAGCAAAAGAACTTATAACCACATTGCTAATAGGAATCTGTGTTTTGGGAAGGTAGAAGAATGGTGTTCACCAAAGACAATGGTGTGGTGTAGGAGAGCTGCCTGGACTCACCCACCACAGAGCTTTACCTTGCCTATGGTGTAGGAAGTGGGGTCCGAAGAATCCGGTGACTGTGGGAGTTGTGAAAGGCACTGATTCTCCCCTTGAAATGCCCCACTCTGGCCCTTCTCAGCAGGCCCAAAGCCCTCATCACAGTCCAGCTCCCCACTGTCTCTCCTGGGGCACAGTGTCTACCACTCTGAACTTGCTCACCTCTGTCACTTCTCCACCTGCCGCCACAGAGACCTCTTACTCTCCTTCGCAGACTCCAAGAGTCAAGCCTTCTTTGAGCCATGTCCAGCAGGCCCTCACTCGGCCTCACCTCTGTCACTCTGTCTCTCCTCCAGTAACAACCCCACCCCCTGATTCCCATCCCATCCCTGTACATGCTCTGCCCGCTCTCTCTCCTTCTCTTCTCTTGTAGGCCCTCCACATGCTACTCCCTCATCTGCAAACTCTACTCACCTTTCATGTCCCAGCTTAAATGTCATTTCCTCAGGGAAGCCTTTCCTGACCCTCAAAGTTGAAGCCTGTTATTCAGCACTCTCCCATAATTACCGATCTAATTGCCCACATCTTCGAAGAGATTGCAAGCTGTGGAGGACAGATGGGACTTTGCCTATCCTGAGCCCTGCAGAATTTCCCTGCCCAGCACAGGATCTGACTAACAGCAAGCATTTAATAAATATTTGTTGAATGAATGAATAAATGAATGATGGTGTCTGGGGATAGAACAAGGTTGTACCTGGAAGAGGTATGAGTAGTGGGGATAGGTTTAGGGGACTGGAAGGAACAGGAAGTGTGACAACAAGAGCCAAGCCTTGGGTAGCAGTCACAGCTTGAGGGCCCACTGGAGCTCTTCCCAGCAGATGGGGACACATGCTCAACTGTGTCCTATCATGTCCCCTAAGAAATCATGCCACTGCAACAGTTAGTGTCTAACCATCAGCCTCCACCTGCAGAAACCTTGATTCCTCAGGTTTGAGCCTGAATCACCCCATCTGCCTAGAAAGCAGTCACGGAGTTAGAGGCCTTGAGGTGAGAGAGAGCTGAGGCAGAGCAGAGGGAGATGCCTCCTCTGCACCTCTCTCCACTCCCAAACAGTCTCCTCATCGACACTCCCACAACTAGGCTACTTCCCCCTGGCAGGCTCACTCTCAATAGAGACAGAGATTTCACCCATCTGGGATAACTGTAGAAGGTGACGGGCAGACAGCTATATGTCAGTCAGTATCAAACTAAAGCCACTCTTCAGCCCACACTGGCATGTCTGTCTATGGCCCTAAGACACATGCATTCACGGCTTCCAGTTTAGATCTCCTGGGAAGATTGATCAGGCTTTACCAGAACGCTGAAATTTTGCTTAGGTGATCATTATATGTTCTTTCTTAAATGCTAACTCTGGCCACATCTCTCTGGCTGACATCGGTGACAGCTTGAATGGGAGGGACATGGGTATATGTGTGGCTGGAGTGACTTTCTATGTTCTATTTCACGTTATCTGTTTCTGACATGTGTCACCATGGTCCAAATTTAACTTTAAAAGTGTTCTTTCACATTATGAAGTTCTATTCAGGATGTTCTTAACTAAGAGGAAAAATTTGAAAATATTGAAGTTTTACACAATAGTGTATTTCAAATATTTTTAGTAGTTTTAACTAATTTGCTCTAAGTTACTATATGATTCCCTTCTTTGCCAGAGCAATAATTCCCTAATGAGAATAAGAAAGCCTAATTTGATTTTCCAAATTACAGTTACATGGTTATATGTCAGACTCATTTAAAATGGAAATCAATAACCATAGCAAAAACATTGAACATGGCATTCTAGCCCTATGTGTAGACACTTGCCAGAGAGCACCTTGTCTGAGGTGACACTCTGTGTGCCTGTGCTACAGTCAACTGAACCCAGAAGACACAGTGGCGATAGTGAAGTCAGTGCTTAGGGGTTGGCCTAATGTCTTACCATGAGTTATTTTAAAGGCCAGATAGCAATATAACCTCATCATGAAAGATTATTTTCCCTAAAATGAAGAAGACAAAAAAGCACCTAAACATGCTTGTTAGAACAAATCTTTAGTTTCTTGTTTAAGAACTGCTTTTGTTTTTTAAATCCTGAAAATTATTATATGGTGAACTCCACTCTTTAAGAAAGTAATTCAACTTAACAACTATTGCGTTTACTCACATTTCCTGGGAGTACATATGCTTCTGTTTGCATCCAGCCCTTCCACGTTCTGCCTCTGTGCTCCCTCAAACACCGCAGCATCTGATATCAACACAGAAACGCTCGACTAAGACCTCCAAGGGAACTCAGGGCCCTTCACTCTTCCTTTCCTTCCCCCATCCCCTGAATTCCAGCCAGCCACATCTGACTACATTTCAACCATAGCCTTTAAAGCTTTGAGAGTAGAGAGTAGGAGTTCCTTTCCTTCCCTTGAGGCCTGAGAGTCCAAGTTTCTATTTCTAAAACGGAAAATCACAAAGAACAGGTTTAGACCACAGTAGGAGGTAAGACATTTTTAAAGAGCTTACCAGAATCTGAAGGGTGGTGGGGGCCTCAGATATCAGAGGACAGGGGCTTTGCCTAGCTTGTTTGGCCACTTAGACTAGTATTTATGAAACACAGGCCCATGTCACCAAGTACTGTTGTAGAAGATTCTTCTCCAGAAGCATTTTAAAGGCACAGGCAGCTTCCCAAGTAAAGGAATACAAAACATCAGTGATTTGCAAACTTTTCTTGCTGAAAACCTAGTGTTCGACTCAAGGTCTGAAAGGGAACCACAGCTGTGGCTCTTTTTTAAATAGCCCTCTTAATGTATAACTATTATTATATCACCAAAGCAGCCTGTTAACCTACAGAATAATATTCCTGTTGAGCTGAGGCCTCCTGGCACCCTTTTCCACTGCTGTTCATTCAGCTCACACACACATACTGAGAACCTGCTTGTGCCTGGCACCCGTGCTAGGATCATAGCATGCCCTGAGGACCATATGGACAACAGGCAACAGAAAAACCATCAGAGAAATCGGCACGTGAGCCCGGATATGGCATGACACCTTAGAGAAGGAAGTCTGAGCACAGCCTTAAAGCAAGCATAGGAGTTGAGTCAAGTGGGTGAGGGGAGAAGAGCACTCAAGAAGTGACGTTCAATGCAAGAACTAGTGCTGCAGGGAAGTCAAGTAGGGGCTAGACTGCAAAGGGTCTTGTGTCTGGTAAGAAAGGCAGAGCCAAGCAAGGATTTTAGGCAAGGAACTAACATAGCTGGATTTATTTTCAAACCAGAACTCTGGTTGATGTTCAGAATGGACTGAAGAACAGATGCGCCTTTTGGGAGCGGGGCAACCATCTAGGACAGCATATCTCAACTTGGATGTCCATACTCATCACCTGGCAACTGTGCTAAAGTGCAGACTATAATCCAGTTGGTCTGGGTGGAGTCCAGGATTCTGGATTTCTAACTAGGCCCCTGGTGACACAAATGCTGTGGGTTTTCAGACAACACTGAGTCACCAGGGTCTTGGGAGAGAGAATGAAGGTATGAGCTCAGGCAAAGTCAGGCAGGAGGGGACAGCTTCCAGAGGTAGATACATTTGACTGTCACTCTTGTTGTTCCCCCTGCATCTGATTATCACAAGTAGGTCGACAGAAGGAAGGGAAGGAGATGAAAGGGTCAGTGAACAGATGAATGAAGACAGCATGCCTTTGGCATCCTTAGTTGACCTGAGATGGATCATCAGAGCCAGAGACCAAGAAAAAGCTGCCACCTTTCCCCTAACCAATGGGACATGCCTGCTGGATTTGTCCTGCAGCCCTGGTCCTCTACTACATCAATTTGAAGGATCTCCTTGACTGCCCATCAGTATGGGCATGTGTCTCTTTTACACTTTTCTCCTTTCTAAATGTGCACATAGCTCATCAAAAGGAGGAATGAATTGGGGGTTAGGAGAACAGCTGTGTCACATAAGTACCTGGATGTCCCCTGGACTCATCACCTTGCTTTGTGGACGACAGTTTTTCTCAGCTAAGAAAAAAGGGGGTTGGAATAGAAAATGTCTATGGTCCTCCTTCCATAATCCTATAACCCGAGCTCCACTCTCAGCCTTCTAAAGCCCTCCCCTTTCTTTCCAAAGATCTGCCTTCCAAGCCACTCTACCTGCACAGAGTCGGGCTTTATCCCAACTCAGCCTTCAGCAACTACTGAAGGGAAATAGAAGTAGTTCGCAAAATGAAAACAGGGAGCACTTTTCTAGAATAGAAGTGTTTCTGCTATTGTTTCTGTTTCCTTTACTGATTATAAAGGTTAACGGGTGGGCGTGGAGGAATTGTGATCAGCTGCTTTCTCAGGCAAGCGTGCATTTCCCAGCCAAGTGGACCTCTTTCAGCTTGTTCTTCTAGTCATGAGTCCCATCAACAAACACCTCTTCCTGGGATGGTCAGGGCCTCAACTTCACTCAGAAAGGAAGTATAACACCACAGGTGTCTTGCTGGAAGGCAAAATGAGGCATAAAAAATGTTCCTCTCTTAGGGAAAATCAGGACACAATAAGGGTTTCTTACTCCTGGTGTTCCTTCTTTTATTCTTTATCTCAGAAAAGTTCCACCAAATTATTAAAGTATTCATTAATATAACTTCAGTCTCTCAAAAAGCCTAGTTCTACTGTGGGGTCAAATTCAAACATGTTCATAAAAACTGATTTAAGTAACTTTTTTTTTAACGAGATATACTTGACATATAACATTATATTAGTTTCAGGTGTACAACATAAAGATTGTATATACATATAAAGGTTTCCCCTACTATCCAAAAGTTCGCTTTCCACAACTTCACTCTTACGAAAGAACTACGTTAGTACCTGTTTTCCCTAACAGAAAGAAATCTGAAGAGGATTTTTGCTTTTACAAAAAATGGTGAAAAGTGAAAATAGCGGTCAGAATTTTTGGTTTTTTTAAAGATTGGCACCTGAGCTAACGTCTGTTTCCAATCTTCTTTTTTTCCTTCTCCCCAAGGACCCCCAGTAAGTAGTTGTATATTCTAGCTATAGGTCCTTCTGGTTGTGCTATGTATGTGGGACACCATCTCAGCACGGCCTAGATGATGGGTGCCAGGTCCGCGCCGAGGATCCAAATCCACGAAACCACGGGCCGCCAAAGCAGAGCACAGAAACTTAAGCGCTCAGCCATGGGGCTGGCCCCACGTTCAGCGTTTCTTTTGCAGCAAGCCTTTATAGAGGCAGGATACATCCCCAAGGAGCAGGAGTGGCGCTGCCATGTTCCTTCCCCGGGAACTACACTCAGTATCTCAGCATCAAGTCGCCATAGCTCTTAACTGTGTCTGTGAGCATCTGTGCTTCATCTCAATTTATTTTGGTAGGTTATTTTTTGGATCTTGGAATGCTCAAAAATTTTTCCCATATAAATTAATGGTACTTGCTTCTTCACTTTATGCCACTTCGGCTCTTGAAAGGATTCACAGGAACACTCTAGTTTCGGATAGCAGGGGAAACCTGCATATTGTGCAATGATCATCATAAGTGTAGTTAACATCCATTACCACATATAGTTACCACATATAGTTCTTGTGATGAGAGCTTTTAAGATCTACTGTCTTAGCAATTATCAAATATACAATACAATATTATTAACTATAGTCACCATGCTGTACATTACATCCCCAGGACTTACTTATTTTGACCACCTTCACCCATTTTGCATAAGTAACTTTTCTTGATACATCAAAAAGAATAAGACAAAAAATGTTAGCCAGTAGAGAAGTTTCTCTGATATGAGGCATAATCTAACCTGATTTCAACATTACCCACCTCACTCCATTCTCTTGTTTAAAAATATCAGGCCAGGCAAACATTTGCAGGAGACTATACCTGGGAGCAGAAGACACACTCATCACCAGCTGTGGGGCAGGTGATGTCAGTAAGGTAAGTGGGCTGGGTGGAAGAGAACAACGAAGCAATCCTCACAACATCCACAAGAGTCTTGGCTTCTGGGTGGAGGAGACAGCAAGGGCCATGGGGAACCAGCTGCTACTCGGTCCCCACCAGGGACCACCAACAATGCAGGCCCAAATGTTACTACATCTTCCCATTTTCTGAGAGAGAAATTCGACCAGGTTACAGGAAGTCTCCTAATTTTTTTTAATGTTGGCAGTTTACTTATAATTTTTAAAACACTGAGAGACAACAGTATATACATCAAACTTAACACATGTCTGGACCAGATGTGGCCCATGACTGCCAATTTGCAACCTCTCACATACAAATCAATCCCCCGTCCCTAGGGAATTTACAGTCCATGGGTTTACAATCCAGACTCTCAGTTGCCTCCGTATCAAGTGTTAATGCTCTTACAGATTTAAAGATCCTTCATTGTCTGATTCCCCCAGATTAATCCAATTTATGTCACATATTCCCCTAACAAACAGTCCATTCTAATAAAACCGACCTACTACACCCCCATGAACATACTATTTTCATTTCCATCTCTGTCCCTTTACCCAAGTTATTTTGTTCTCTTATAACGGCCTCTCTTCTCTCTTCCATTCATGACATACAATCACATCCTACCTCTCCATACCATTTTCCTTCACTCCTCTGGTGAATGTATCTTTTATTATCAGTAGTACAGTTTAGCATGCAGTCACACACAGCTGTTATTGTGAGCTAACTGTTTCATATGTATTCATTATTTCCTAATGAGGCTGTCAGTTCTGGGGGGAAGGGGCACGGTCTTGTTGGCTATTCATAAGATCTCATGTGTTTTAAGCAGCGTTAACAGGACTCCACACATACCATAAGATATAAAGGCATTTGGGACATCAGCCACAAAACACACTACATTAATTAATATAAGACGGAACAGTCACTGCTAACTTGGCATTCCTTATAGTGGGAGGGAGAAGAGCTGCCCAGCCTAAATGAAAAAAGTCTAGTAAAGAAACAGCGTAAATCACAGAACTGAAAACAACAAACCAGTGTGCACATCCTTGAATTCACCAGTCTGCTCTATTTCCATTTGGAGTCAAGTCACCAATTGATTGGGCTAAACCTTACTTGGGGGCTTTCCAGAAATCTGGAGGAGCCATACAAGACCCAGGGCAAACTCAGGTTCCAAACTGCAGCTCCCAGGACACCATGGCATTTCTCTCTGCTCCAGGAACCACCTTACCCCCAGACCAAACAGGACATATACTCTTGCAAATGAAATCCAGAACCAACCCCATCGACTGGAATCCTTGGGTTATCCATTTTCCTA